GGGGCGAGTCGGAGTGGCGTGCGCGCCTGCGCAGTCAGTCGGCCGTTGGGGGGAGTGTGCGGTCCTGCGTGGCTCTGTGTTCTGCTGGGCCCTGGTTGCTGCATCACGTTTTTAATATACTGATTTGTTTTTATTTAATATATTCTTAATATATTTAATAAGTAACTTGACTTTTCGTACACATAGCGGTTTTATCCCCATTTTCTCTGTTTTGCCGTGCTTTCTAGCATTACTGCCAAATTAGAGATCTTGCTTCCTCTGAGCAGGAGGGCCCAAAGCAGGGTCTCCATTGGAGCTGTTGCAGCTCCACTCAAAGAGGCATGGCCCTAAAATGGCAGTGACTGTGCTTCAGTCACAGCAGCGGGGGTCTAAAGCGTAATAAACTTGTAAAACAGGCTGTAAGAAAGGAGAGTATAAGGAAAAATTTGCTGTGGCATTATGGGTTAAAGTATGATTTATTCACCTCAGGTAGTACAATTCGGCATGTTTATATGTAGGTAGTAATGCAATCTACAAAGCCCAGGGAGTAGGCACATGGATGTTGTTAACGTTTTCAAAAGCCATTGAGCTTAACTGGCAATTGACTTCCACTTTAAGTTATATTTATAACAGATTTTGTTGTTGCTAATTTAAATGAACTGATAGCTAGACCATTTTTAGTTACTCTCCGTAGATATTCTGTGTTTCTAGAGAATGATTTCTGAGTATATGCAGAACCTAGCTTTCCTAATTTCTTAGTTACTCTTGGTAGATATTCTGTGTTTCTATGCAGAACCTAGCTTTCCTAATTTCTTTTTAAGATAGGAATGATGAGTATATCTGAAACACGGATTTCATCCTATTGGAGCCATACGGTGCCCATATTTTGCTTTTACAGCTGGTTTCTGATACTTACGTTTTGAAGTAACATTTAACAATAGTGTTCCTATGAATGACTGCCCTATGTACATTCCAGTATAGTCTCTGTTACAGAATGTACTGACTGTGCCTACATATACATATGTGTGTCTGTGTGTATATCTACATCTCCGTGCACACTGTGTTTATATTCCTTCAACATTCTCCAGTTTTGGTCATCATAGAATTCACTGATGGCATGAGAAACCATTTTGGCAGAGTGCATATGCAGTATGTTCTGTCACAGTGGATTATGGAGGTGCCCTTCTGCACAATACTGTAGAATAATTGTTGGGTTTTAAGATCTCTTTTTTTCCATTTTCATCATTCTTTGCTTGATGATGATTTTGACAGTGTAAATGGATGTTAAGAAGGTCTTTGCAGGAAGCTAAGTAATTACTAAAAAGACACAGTCAAGAATTTTCTTACGTAGCAATTAGAAAATGATTGCCATTAAAGGATTTCCAAAAAGTAATTTCCTATCCAGGATAAATAATGTGAAATAATTCCGAATAACTTTGTGTACCAGACAAAGCTTATACTATCAATAACATATCCCTTTTTAAAGCATAACATCGGGTCCTTTAGTGCAGTCCTGCAACAAATTTAGTGGAAGAAGTCGACAACACAGAGTCTCATAATTATATCTTTATAATATCAGTTCAGTTCTGTTCTAAGATCAATCAGAGTTTGTCATAGTTTAAACCAATGCATAGAAGGTCAGTAATATACGTGAGCATTTGTGGAGTCAAAATAAATGATAATATCATCTTGAGGGGTCACATTTAAAGAAGAGTGGAAGTGGATCTAATCGAACAGTCATTAAAAAAACAAAATTTGTTTTCTAATTAATGCCTATATGATGAGTTGGCCCAGTGTTTAATGTTTAAATGCATTGGAATAGCATGTCATGGTCTTCATCCTACATAGCTGAAATACTGCAATATTGAGTGTGTGAGTTAAAAAAGGATTTGTTTCAATATATATAAATATATTGTCATTAAAATTGAAAAATAAAATGCAAGCTCCACCTGTTGGTGAAAATGTAGGATTTCTAATGATATTTGTCACTTCAAATCCAAGAGGGGCTTAACAGGAAAAAATTACGGTGTTTTCGTTTGTTTGTTTTTTACTTAGTATCTCTGGAAGAGGAGCAAGTGTAAAACTGGCATCAGATGAATCGAGTTTATGACCAAATGAGGCATCCAGTCACGTTTTTAACTCTAAAGAGTTAAAGCCACTCAGAAGGTGCCAGCTTAATACTTCTTTTCAGTACATGGAAAATGCTTTGTCAGACCATTGTTTTAACAATACATTTCATTCCTAACAGACAACTAGGCAGGTATTTTCCGACTCATAACCTGAGAAGTCTGCTGAGTTTTTGTATGCAAAAATTGTTCCATGTATCTTTTGTAGATGTATCTTTTGAAGTTTCTGGGTATGTAATATGGCCATAACTGTTACTGTAATAATAGTAAGATATAATAGCGGTATACTTGAATAATTTAAATAAATACTTTTAAGAAAGAATTTGTTCTCCCAGGTTCACTGTCAGAGGAAAAACCTGAAGCGTCACTGGTGTGGATGAGGCAGTAGCCCGTGGTGTGGGAAGATTGGGTTTCCCAGCTGTTCTGCTGTGTGGAAAGACACTCCTTGGAAGACTTGGTGTCTGACTCTGTGCATTCACTGCCTTATAACTGTCTTATTCACATGGAATGTAAAGGCTTTAGTGAAAGGACTGCATCTGTTCATTATTTTTGTGACAATAAAAGGTTGTGAGTGCCATGGTGGAAGACAGTCCTTAAATGATCAGAAAGCAGCTAGAATATGGAGAGTAATACCATAAAAAACAATAATAAAACTACAACGATCCCTCAAATAAGACTTTAGTTCAACTACATTTTGACACTGGAGCTCAGCCCAAGAATCCATTAAAGAAAATTTTTTATTTATTTTCTCCAGAGCGAGAACTGTGGACAAATAACCAAAAAATACAGAATTTTGGAATGATGGTAAAATATGCTATTTTGGGGAGAGTGCAAATTCACCACCTGAGTCGTTTCATCTTTGGAGAAAAATTGTGTCATAACATTACAGATATAACTTACTATTTTTGAAACTGATGAGAACTTTAGCTCTTTTCTCCGCAGATACGATATCAAGGAAATACAAATACAAACTGGACACCTGAAAAAAAAATCAGATCGAGGTCCTAGCAGTAAAAAGACATTCCATATGGGATCACATGGAATTCCTTTTTTTTTTTTTTTTTTTAAAGCAGCTCTAGTGGAGGTTTACTTGCCTACAGTGCAGGATTGAAACAAAACTTGCAGCCATAATTATGAAAAAAAAAAAAACCTGTTCCAGTGAAAAAGTTTTCACAGTAACTGTGGAATTTCACTGCCATTTACAATTTTTATTTTTACAGCTTTCTGAGCTCATTAATAGATATTATTTGCTGATTCTGTGTTCTGGCTGTTGCATCTTAAAAAGTGTACCCACCCCTCAAAGTACAATATCTGTCACCTAAAATGATTGTGGTGTTTAGAGTTATTTTTGCTAATTGCTCCTGCTCTAGAAAATGGGCTTTACAGGATACTCTGGAAATGCCATCAGAATTCTCAGAAAGATTTATTTGGCAATTATGTTACATGAACTTGAGGTATGCAAGATGAGAATTTATAAATAGCCAAATGATACAGGGAGTGGTATGAAAATGTAGAGCTTAAAAGACATTAGGTAATGAAAATCTTTCATTTTCCACCCCACTGGAAGTGTTTTCATAGCACAAGGCCTCTATTCTTCAGCTTGTTCTTGGAGACACTGTTTTCTATTGTTTCTCAACACAACATGTTTATTATTTCTGTTGCACTACTCATAAGGATCCTAAACAGATTTTTGGATTCCATTGTGCCAGGCACTGTACAAACAACACAATGATTCCTCTCCCTCAGAAAATTCTCAGAGTAGGAACTAAGTAAATTATGGAAGATAAATTAACAAATGGAAAAAAGCTGAGGTGAGGTAACTGAAGGGACAGGTACATTTGCATTAAGAGAGAAATTTTAGAAGCCACAGTTTCTAATACTGCCATGAAATGTCTTCAGTATTAATTTTACAGTTTCTTGCTCTTTGATGGTGGAGATATTTTTTTTAAA